CAGGAGCAGGAGTTACTGTAGGTGGGGCACAGTATGGCGGCGCGGCTCGGCCTGGGCGGTGCGGCTCGATTCGTTCGGTGCGGCTCGGTTCGGGCGGCGCAGCTCGGTTCGGGTGGGGCGGCTCGGCTCGGACTGGGCTACGCGACGGTGCGCAACGGGGGGGGGGGGGGGGGCGTGCGCATGGGCGGCTGTAGCTGGTGGGCCGTGGCTGTGCGTGGGCCCTACTGGCGCGCGCGCGGCGGCCTAGAGGGAACGTCGCGGCTACCTAAGGGCGGGGCCGCGACGTGCTGGCGGCGCTCTACGGGCGGCTAGGGGAGGCCGCTCGTGGACGGCGTCGGTCGCGCGGGCGGTTAGGGGTCGGCGCGCTCAGAAACGGGGCGCGCGCGGGCTCCTAGCGGGCTACGCGCTAAAACAAAAGGCCGCGCGCGGCACTAGTGAGCTGCGCACGGGCAGCAAGAGGAAGAGAGGCGCACAAGGGCGCACTAGAAGAGAGGCGCTTGAGGGCGCTACGAACGGTGGGCCCTTAGGTAATCGGTTATAGGACTAGGACCTAAGCTCTTAATACCATGTCAAGAACAAGAAGTTGGGGTACAAGTGTCAAACCCTAGTGAAATGTACTCCCTAAAGGCTAACCCATTGTAGCCTACAGCACAGTAACATACAATGTTTGACATCTAGTACGGAACACTGTCTTGTGAATCGAGTTGTCTGCCATCTTGATCTGCAAGTAATCCGACCGTAGGTCCAGCTTTGAAAAGACCGTTGCACCATGCATTTGGTCTAGAAGATTGTCTATGCGCGGTATGGGGTATTTGTTTTTTACTGTCTGTTAATCGATGCATATCCATAATTTACCGTCTGGTTCTGGAGTGAAGAGAACTGGTGCACAGTAGGCAGAGGTGGATGTGCGGATCAGTTGTCTGACCTGTAGATACTCGATCTGCTTCTGTCTGTAAGTTCTGTCGGACTCAGTCGGTATGGTGCTCTGGAGACAGGTTTCGCACCTGGTTCCTCCACAATCTCATGCTCGTGGGCTCGTGCTGGAGGTACTCCCGCAGGCAGGTCATCCGGCATGATATCATTGTACTTCTCCAACACCTCCTGTACTGTTGCAAGTAGTTCTGTGTTCGGCGTCTTGTCCTGTGCTGCTGCCATAACCAGTGCTAAGCAACTCGTGCTACTCTCGTTCATCATCCGTTCGAACCATGCCAGTGTTTTTTCAGGAACATCCCCTGTATCCGTCCAGCTTCACAGCTCCACACGTTTCTCGTTGTTGAAGATGCACGCCTTCCGAATGACACAATCAATTTCGGGGTTGAACCGCTTCAAGAAATCTCGCCCCAATATGAAGTTTAACCCTTTGATATTCGTGATCGGCAACGTCGGCTTCCATCTCAACGCACCTATGTGTAGCTGTTGTGATGCTTCGCCGTCGATGAGAAGTTTCGTACCGTCCACCATCGTTGCCGTGAACTTGGTCTCCTCCGAAGGTTCTCCTATTTTCTCCAACGTCCTGCAGTCGCACACTGAGTGGGACGCACCACTGTCCACCAGTGCCTGGAGGCAACATCCTTTGCATAACACCTCGAGGAGTAGTGGTTTCTCCTGCGCTGAGTAGCCAAAGATGTTCTTGTTAATTGGATCATAGGGCAAATCAAAATAACCATCTTCCCTATTTCATATACCTGACTCAGCACTCTTAACTTCCAACTTCACCTGGGGGGTCGGGGGATTTTTTCTAGGCTTGTATAACTTCTCCTAAGCCTGGAATTTTCCTCTAAGCCTTTGCAGCTGGGTAGGCTTTGCCTATGGGCAACGGGGAGCCTTAACACTTTGCTGCGGAGAGAGGACATTAACTCCACGGAACGTACAACCCTTTTCTATGCTCCATAGTACTTCGCCCAACTTCTCAGGTACCTGAATAATTTCTCAAGGCTTTTTCCTGGCCTATAATTCTCCCCTGATTTTTTCAAAGGCTTGAGAACCACGAGAAGAAATATTTTTTGTTAGAGTATCTTTACAGGATAACTTTAATGAATTCTTACTTTCTTGGGTATTCAGCTGGAGTTTCCCGGTCGGTGCAGAGTCTTATTTTGCGGAGCTTCCTTTTTCCTCGGCGAATGCCTCTGGTGCCAGCCGGTCGTGACGTTTTATATTCGCGCCATCATTTTTTCCTTTTTTCGCCCGCTCCGAAGTCGTAACGTCGTCGCCCTTTTTCTCTTTTCGGGTCTTTACGCTATCGCAACGCCGATCCGCGGCTACTGGCGATTCCCGTTTTTGTACTTCGGAGGTGGTGCACTATTGCCGCCCAACATTTCCGCACACGCTTTCTTCATTTTGTAGCATGACAGAATCTGATGTCCGGCTGCGCCGCAAAATTCGCATTTTGTCAGTCGCGGCTTCGCGTCGATTCAGTCAATGTCCATCGGTTCGGCGAACGTGGGGGGTGCCGATCGCTCTGTGTCGAAAGATCTGTTCGGCATGTGGCATCGTGTTTTGGGCTGATCACACGTCAACGCATCCTATCGCTCTACTGCACGTACCATGTCGCGGTAGCTACTGTAGTGTCAGAACATTTTATAGCTTATACATTTGTGTAGGCTGTAGTGGGGTATCCCATAGGGGGTACAACCCAATTAGGGTTAGTACTTGTACCCACTTCTTTCATAGTTCATCCATTCTCGTTTCTTCTCATGGTATCGAGCAGGTTCCCTCGTGGGAACTGTTCCTAGGGCCCACCAAGTCAAAAAAAAAAAAAAAATTCCTGCCCGGAGCGCGCTCCGCTTAGGCCCGAGTTGCGCCTCGTGTGCCCTCTCTACCGTCGCGCCCTTCCTAGGCCTCCTTCGGCCCCGTCGCGTCGCCCCTAGCGGCCTCCCTCGAGCCGCCTTTACTCGGCCAGTCGCCGCCCTTACGCGGCCCGCTGCCGCCCTTACTCGGCCCGTCGCCGCCCTTCGCGGCCCGTGGCCGCCCTACGCGGCCCGTCGCCGCCCTTACTAGGTCCGTCGCCGCCCTTATGCGGCCCGTCGCCGCCCTAACGGCCCGTCGCCGCCCTTACTCGGCCCGTCGCCGCCCTTACGCGGCCCGTCGCCGCCCTTTCACAGCCCGTCGCCGCCCTACGCAGCCCGCTGCCGCCCTTAATCGGCCCGTCGCGGCCCGTCGCCGCCCTTCCGCGGCCCGTCGCCACCCTTACGCGGCCCGTTGCCGCCCTTCCCGGCCCGTCGCCGTCCTTCGCAGCTCGGCGCCGCCCTTCCCGGCCCTTCACGCCGCCCTAACGGCTCGGCGACGTCCTCTTACGGCCCGCCGTCGCCGCCCATCGGCTCAGCCCGCCGCCCTCGCGGCCCCACGAGCCGCCGGTCGGCCCACCGTGCGCCACCCTACCCGGCCCCGGCGCCTCCTCCTCCGACCCCGCGGCCGCCCCACCTGGCCCCTCGAGCCGTCGTCACGGAGGAAGGAGCCGCCGCAGCTGAGCCGCCGAGCCGCCCAGCAGCCGAGCCGCCGAGCTGCCGAGCCGCCCAGCAGCCGAGCCGCCGAGCAGCCGAGCCGCCCAGCAGCCAAGCCGCCAAGCCGCTCAGCAGCCAAGCCGCCGAGCCGCCCAGCAGCCGAGCAGCCGAGTCACCCGCACTTCCTAGCCGCCCGAGCAGCCCTGTCCGGAAAGTGCGGCGCCTCTGTCACTGCACTGCCTTTACCCTACTGTTCGCGCTGCTAGTCTACTGCTGTCATGGCTACCCCTAGTGTCCTCGCTTTTGACGCTGAGGGTCGGGCCATTGACATTGACGTCTGGGTAGATGACCTGCAGCTTTTCCTCCAGTGTGATAGGGCAGACGGTCTCTCCTTCTTTGACCTCACCTCTGGTGCCTCTCCTGCTCCTGCTGCTGATGCTACTGCACGTCTTGCTGTGCTTCGCCACCTCCCTACCTGTGAGCGTGCGCACTTTAGTCAGTACGACGCTGTAGTTGCACGCTACTCCTCCCCTGCCACTGCTGCACTGAGCCGCCTCATGCTACCGTACCTCTTCCCTGACCTTGCTGCCTTTCCCACGGTCGCTGACCTCATTACGCACCTCCGCACTAGTGACACTCGCTACCGCGCTGCGCTTCCTGCTGAGTTCTGCGCCAAGAACCCCCCCCCCCCCCCCCCCATGTATATCACCCTCTACTTTATAGTCACCCGGCTCCCTGACTCCCTTCGCGTAGTCAGGGACCACTTCCTCGCAGTGTGCCCCACCACTCTCACCGTTGACCTCCTCTAGAAGGCCCTCCTAGCATCGGAGAAGAGCATAGTCGCTGTAGGAGCCTCTCGTGGTGACCCCCGCACCCCTGTCTTTGAAGGGGTGTTCTCCCTCCCCCCTCTTGCCCTCTGTTGCTTCTGCTGCTGCGGCTGACCTCGTTGGTTTTGAGTCGGTCGACGCTGCGTCTGCCCCTTCGGGGAAGCGCCACACAGGCAACGGCAAGGGGGGCAAGGGCGTTGGAGGAGCGGGCGGGGGCGGTGGAGGCGACGGTGGAGGCGGCGGAGGGAGTGGGGGTGGTGGTGGGAGTGGTGGCGGGGGTGGGGGTGCCGGTGGCAGCGGTGGAGGCGGAGGCGGAGGCAGTGGTGGCGGAGGGAGCGGAGGCAGCGGTGGTGGCGGAGGCGGCGGCGGTGGCGGAGGCGGCGGAGGTGGCGGTGGAGCAGGTCGCGGTTCTGCACAGAGGAGCGGCTCAGGTGGTGGTCCGCGCCAGCAGCAGCAGCGCGGTCGTGAGACCCTGTCCCCTCAGCAGCTCCGTGAGTGGTACACTGCACGCCAGCGGGATGGAGGTTTTGGTCCGTGCACCTACGTCCTGCGCACCGGCGATCGTGCAGGTAAGCAGAGTGGGGGTGCGCACTCCACCCAGCGCTGCTTTGGCCGCCTGACGGATGCGTGGCGCCACCAGTTTCCTGACGCCATAGAGATCCCTCGCTAGGGCGAGTTCTCTAGGGCGGGGGTTGCTGTCTTTGACCTTGACTTTGATGCTATTCTTTCTGCCATGTATGCTGTGACTATTAGTGATGAGGGTGACTGTTACCGGTGTTTCCCGCCCGATCCGGGCATTGAGACTGCTGCTCTAGGTACTGGTGAGGCTGCTGCCCTAGGTGCTTGCGAGGCTGCTGCTCTAGGTGCTAGTGCGTCTGAGTCCTCAGGTACTGGTGAGTCTGCACTCTCAGGTACTGCGTCAGCTTCGGCCTCCCTCACCTTCACCCTTGACTCTGGGGCTTCTCGCTCCTTCTTTCGAGACCGCACCACACTCACGCCGCTTGGTCGGTCGGTTGCGGTGTCTCTGGCTGACCCCTCTGGGGGTCCTGTCCTAGCTCACTTCTCCACAGTCCTCCCGTGTCCCGCGGCTACCTCTGGCAACCTGTCTTCTCTTTACCTCCCCTCGTTCTCGACGAACTTGGGGATTGGTGCTGACCTACAGGATGGGGGAGTGCACCAGTTCACTCCTGCGAGTCAGCGGGTGACGCACTGCACTGAGGCTTGGACAGGCCGACACTTGGCTACGTTTACACGTCAGCCGGGGTCGAGCCTGTACACACTGACCACTGCGTCTCCTCCAGTCACTGAGTCTGGTCGGGTAGCTGCGTCGGGTCAGGTGTTTGCTGCAGCGTCCAGGTCTGGTCCTGAGTCTGCCCCTTGTTCGTGTCGTCTCCTGTCTCACGAGACTCTCCTCTGGCACCACCGCCTTGGTCACCCCTCTCTGCTTCGTCTCAGAGGCATGGCCTCCCGTTTCCTTGTTTCTGGTCTTCCCCGGTCCCTCCCTCCCCTTCCTCAGGGGTCTGGCCCTACCTGTGTCCCCTGTGTCGAGGCTCGGCAGCGCGCTGCCCCTGACTCCTCCCAGTTCCCTCCGACAGAGGCCCCGCTGCAGACGCTTCACATGGACGTGTGGGGCCCAGCCCGCGTCCGTGGGCAGGGTCACGAGCGCTACTTCCTGCTGTTGGTTGACGACTACTCGCGTTACACCGCAGTCTTCCCCTTGCAGAGCAAGGGTGATGTCATTGAGGTGTTGATCGACTGGATCCGCGCAGCTCGTCTCCAGCTCAGGAGGAGCTTCGGCTCGGACTTTCCTGCTTTGCGTCTGCACTGTGACAGAGGTGGAGAGTTCTCCTCCGGCCTTCTGAGAACCTACTGTCGTGCACGAGGCATCCGTGAGACCTTCACGCTTCCGGACTCTCCGCAGCAAAATGGGATTGCTGAGTGCTGCATTGGCATGGTCATGGCGTTGCTCGTACGTCCATGATGCATGCGGCTGCCCCCCATTTTCTGTGGCCGTTTGCGGTGAGGTACACAGCGCATCAGATCAACCTCCACCCCAGGGTCCCCAGGCCGGAGACCTCCCCAACTTTGCTGTGGACGGGAAAGGTCGGCGATGCGTCTGCGTTCCGTGTCTAGGGATCTCGGGCGTTTGTCCGCGACTTGTCTGCGTACAAGCTGTCCCCTCGTGCTGCTCCTTGCGTCTTCCTGGGGTTCCCCCCTGACGCGCCCGGGTGGCAGTTCTACCACCCCACCTCGCACCGTGTTCTGTCCTCTCAGGATGTCACATTTGACGAGTCGGTCCCCTACTACCGCCTCTTCCCCTACCGCACTCCGTCCCTCCCCCCACCACCGCTCTTCCTTGTACCAGGTCCCCCCCCGGTAGACCCCCTCCCCCCTCAGGGTCCTACCCCTTCAGGTGTATCCCAGGTAGACGCAGTCGAGCCTGTCAAGGTTACTGGTGACTCTGGTGCTGCTGAGGGTGCTGAGCCTGGGGGTGCTGACCCTGTGGGTGCTAAGACTGGGGGTGCTGAGCCTGGGGGTGCTGAGCCTGGGGGTGCTGAGAGTGGGGGTGTTGAGAATGGGGGTGCTGGGCCTAGGGGTGCTGAGCCTGGGGGTGCTACGCCTGGGGGTGCTGAGCCTTGGGGTGCTGTGCCTGGGGGTGCTACACCTGGGGGTGCTGAGCTTGGAGGTGCTGAGCTTGGAGGTGCTACGCCTGGAGGTTCTCCGGGTGCTTCGTCTCGGCGCGAGCCACTCTCTCCACAGGAGCTACGCAAGTGGTTTGCCCAGCGCTGGAGCCGTGCTGCTGGAGCTAGAGGTTCTTCGGCTAGTGAGGGTGCTGGTGTCACGGGTCCATGAGGTGCTCGTACTGGGAGTACTGTAACTGTTGGGCCTGCGGGTACGACTCGAGCTGGAGCTATTGAGGGTGTTGGCGCTGAGGCTACTGCTGGCGCTTGTGCTCCTGCTGGGGGTACTGGTGCTGTCCCTGCTGTGTCTGGCGTCGCCGCCCGGCCTCGACCGTACTTCGTTCCGCTCGTACAGCAGGTTATTGGTCTTCCGCCTTCTGCTGGTCCTCCTCCTCCCTTAGAGTGTCCACAGCCTGTCCAGTCGCGGTCACAGTTACAGCCCGCCTCCCCCCTACCTGCTCCTTCTCCCTACACTGGTCCTACTGGAGGTCTTGCTGAGCGTCGTGAGCCTGCATCTCGCCCTGCGTCGCCTGTCCGTGCTGCTCGCACTAGTGGTCGTGGTTCGCGTCAGCGTCCTCCTCCTGTCCCTGGCACGCACCGGATGTCTTTGCGTCTATCCACTGATCCTGTGCGTGCCCCTTTGCCTTCTCCTCCTGAGTCCTCTCTTCCTGCTCTTGCGGACCCGGAGTCGGACTCTCTTCATGCTGCCAGTCTTACTGTCTCACGTCTCCTTGCTACTGTCGACACTGACCCTTCGTTTGAGTCCACTGCTGCGTCTGCCCTAGTTGCTGAGCTCGTCGACTTTGCCGCTCGCTGTCACCTAGACTACGCTGCTAGTCTTATCACTGAGTCTGAGTCTGTCTGTCCTCCGTCCGTCGAGGGTGAGTGTGCCCTTGGCACGGACGTCCTTGAGGACAGGTAGGAGGAGTTCCAGTGTCTGGCAGCTGCTTCACCTCATCTCGTGTCAGTACTGCTTACCCGTGAGGGAGACCCGGATGCACTTGACATCCCAACTCCGCGCTCTTACGCGGAGGCGATAGAGGGTCCCTACTCTTCTTAGTGGCAGGCAGCTATGGACACAGAGATGGCTTCCTGGAAGTCCACAGGCACCTACGTTGACGAGGTTCCCCCGCCTGGGGCGAAGATCGTCAGTGGCATGTGGATCTTCAGGGTGAAGCGGCCGCCGGGTTCTCCGCCTGTCTTCAAGGCACGGTACGTGACTACTTCCAGAATTTCTCTCCCACCCCGAAGATGACCACTCTTCGGGTACTGCTGCACGTTGCTACTCACCGTGACTACGAGTTGCACTCTCTTGACTTGAGCACAGCTTTCTTGCAGGGCAGCCTGCACGAGGAGATCTGGTTGCGTCGCCCACCTGGCTTCACTGGGTCGTTCCCTCCTGGTACCCAGTGGAGTCTCTGGCGCCCAGTCTATGGTCTCCGCCAAGCGCCCCGCGAGTGGCACGACACACTGAGGACTACGCTTGCGGCTCTTGGGTTTGCTCCTTCTACTGCCGACCCGTCGCTGTTTCTGCACACCGACACCTCTCTGCCGCCGTTCTACATCCTCGTGTACGTCGACGACTTGGTCTTTGCCACAGCTGACACTGCTGGACTCGCCTACGTGAAGTCCGAGCTGCATAAGAGACACACGTGCACTGACCTGGGTGAACTGCGCAGCTACCTTGGCTTGCAGATCACCCGGGACAGAGCACGCCACACCATTACTCTGACTCAGTCACACATGGTGCAGCAGGTCCTTCAGCGCTTCGGCTTCACGTACTCCTCGCCTAAGGCCACTCACTCTCAGCTCTGCCTTCGGATGAGTCTGTAGAGTCGAGTGGCCCGTATCCAGAGCTTGTTGGCTGCCTCATGTACCTGATGACCTGCACACGACCTGACCTTGCATACCCTCTTAGCATTCTCGCACGCTATGTTGCTCCTGGGAGACACCGACCAGAGCACATGGCTGCAGCGAAGAGGGTGTTGCGCTACTTGTGCAGTACGTCGGGCATGGGGCTAATGCTTGGAGGGCGGAGTCCAGTGGTCCTCAGTGGGCATGCAGACGCTTCTTGGGCTGACGACCAGGCTACGCAGCAGTCGTCACAGGGTTACACCTTCAGCCTTGGTTCCGGCTCTGTTTCTTGGCGGGCTACTCGCTCGTCTTCTGTTCTCGGCTCCAGTTGTGAGGCCGAGATCTACGCCGGGGCCATGGATGCAGAGGAGCTTTGCTAGCTCACCTACCTGCTAACTGACCTCGGAGAGCCGCCTCGTTCTCCTCCAGTTCTGTACGTAGACAAAAAGGCCATGCTTGCCTTGTGTCGAGAGCAGAGACTGGAGCACAGAACAAAGCACATTGCTCTCCGCTACTTTCTTGCTCGTGAGCTACAGCAGCGTGGTCAGTTGCGGCTTGCGTACGTGGCCTCTGAGGCCAACACTGCTGATGTCTTCACCAAGGCTCTTGCGCCTTGTGATCATCAGCGCTTCTACACTCAGCTGGGTCTTGTGCCTGTCTTGCCTCACTTGCTCACCTCCTGACCTTGCTTGTACTGTTACGTATATATTTACCTGCTCTTGCTTGTTTAGATTTATATATATGTGTCCTCTTGCATGTGAACTGGCCTTGTGGCCTTGACCTTGTGCTCGGAATGTGTGGTGACTTGAGATCCACCCTGAGCTTGCTTTGCTTGCCTGGTCTTGTGACCCCTTGCTCTCCCCCACTTTGCCTATAGGGGTGTGTCGGAACATTCTATAGCTTATACATTTGTGTAGGCTGCAGTGGGGTATCCCATAGGGGGTACAACCCAATTAGGGTTAGTACTTGTACCCACTTCTTTCATGTGAAAATAGAAACGTGTAATGAAATGACTATGAACGAAGTGAGTACAAACAGGAAACCCTAATTGGGTTGTACCCCCTATGGGATACCCCACTATAGCCTACACAAATAAGTAAGCTATAATGTTTTGACACACCCCCATAGGCAAAGTGGGGGAGAACAAGGGGTCACAAGACCAGTCAAGTAAAGCAAAGCAAAGCTCAGGGTGGATCACAAAGTCACCACACATTCCGAGCACAAGTTCAAAGGCCACAAGGCCAGTTCACATGCAAGATCATATATAGAGATATACAAGAGTCAAGCAAGCAAGAGCAAGAGTATATGTAGGTGAAGGTACACGGAAGGTCAAGAAGTGAGCAAGTGAGGCAAGACAGGCACAAGACCCAGCTGCGTGCAGCAACGCTGATGATCACAAGGCGCAAGTGCCTTGGTGAAGACATCAGCAGTGTTGGCCTTAGAGGCCACGTACGCAAGTCGCAACTGTCCACGCTGCTGTAGCTCACGAGCAAGAAAGTAGCGGAGAGCAATGTGCTTTGTCCTGTGCTCCAGTTGCTGCTCTCGACACAAGGCCAGCATGGCCTTGTTGTCTACGTACAGGACTGGAGGAGAACGAGGCGGCTCTCCAAGGTCGGTCAGTAGGTAGGTGAGCCAGCGTAACTCCTGTCCAGCCATAGCCCCGGCGTAGATCTCAGCCTCACAACTGGAGCCGAGAACAGAAGACGAGCGGGTAGCACGCCACGAAACAAGGCCGGAACCAAGGCCGAAGGTGTAACCCTGTGACGACCGCTGCGTAGCCTGGTCGTCAGCCCAAGAAGTGTCCGCGTGCCCAGTGAGGACCACTAGACTGCGTCCTCCAAGCACTAGCCCCATGCCCGACGTACTGCACAAGTAGCGCAACACCCTCTTCGCTGCAGCCATGTGCTCTGGTCGGTGTCTCTCAGGAGCAACATAGCGTGCGAGAATGCTAAGAGGGTATGCAAGGTCAGGTCGTGTGCAGGTCATCAGGTACATGAGGCAGCCAACAAGCTCTGCATACGGGTCACTCGACTCTACGGACTCATCCGAAGGCAGAGCTGAGAGCGAGTGGCGAGTAGGCAGAGGAGTGGCCTGAGGCGAGGAGTACGTGAAGCCGAAGCGCTGAAGGACCTGCTGCACCATGTGTGACTGAGTCAGGGTAATGGTGCGGCGTGCTCTATCCCGGGTGATCTGCAAGCCAAGGTTGCTGCGCAGTTCACCCAGGTCAGTGCACGTGTGTCTCTTTTGCAGCTCGGACTTCACGTAGGCGAGTCCAGCAGTGTCACCTGTGGCAAAGACCAAGTCGTCGACGTACACGAGGATGTAGAACGGCGGCAGAGAGGTGTCGGTGCGCAGAAACAGCGACGGGTCGGCAGTAGAAGGAGCAAACCCAAGTGCCACCAGCGTAGTCCTCAGTGTGTCGTGCCACTCACGTGGCGCGTGGCGGAGACCATAGACTGGACGCCGGAGACTCCACTGGGTACCAGGAGGGAAAGACCAAGTGAAGCCAGGTGGGCGACGCAGCCAGATCTCCTCGTGCAGGCTACCCTGCAAGAAAGCAGTGCTGAAGTCGAGGGAGTGCAGCTCGTAGTCACGGTGAGCAGCAACGTGCAGCAGTACCCGAAGAGTGGTCATCTTCGGGGTGGGGGAGAAGGTCTGAAAGTAGTCAACTCCCTGCCGGTGACTGAAGCCACGAGCCACGTAACGCGCCTTGAAGACAGGCGGAGAACCCGGCGGTCGATTCACCCTGAAAATCCACATGCCACTGACGATGTTCGCCCCAGGAGGGGGAACATCGTCAACGTAGGTGCCTGTGGACTTCCAGGAAGCCATCTTTGCATCCATAGCTGCCTGCCACTGAGAGGAGTAGGGACCCTCTATCGCCTCCGCGTAAGAGCGCGGAGTCTGGATGTCTAGTGCATCTGGGTCTCCCTCATGTCAAACATTGTATGTTGTGCTTGTTTAGGCTACAGTGGGTTAGCCTATAGTGGGTACACTTTTCTAGGGTAAGGTTTGACCTATTTGTACCCAACTCTCATTCTAGTCATTCATTCTCATTCTGACACCACAGGGGCTAGCAGTACAGACGCGAGATGAGGTGAAGCGGCAGCCAGACACTGGAACTCCTCCTGCCTGTCCTCAAGGACGTCCGTGCCAAGGGCACACTCACCCCTGACGGACGGAGGACAGGCAGACTCAGACTCAGCGACAAGACTAGCAGCGTAGTCTAGACGACGAGCGCAGCAAAGTCGACGAGCTCAGACGCAGCAGACGACTCGAAAGAAGGGTCAGTGACAGCAGTAGCAAGGAGACGCGTGACAGTAGGACTGGCAGCACGAAGAGAGTCCGACTCCGGGTCGGCAAGAGCAAGAAGAGAGGAAGCAGGAGGAGAAGGCAAAGGGGCACGCAGAGGAGCAGTGGACGGACGCAGAGACATCCGGTGCATGCCAAGGACAGGAGGAGGACGCTGACGCGAACCACGACCACTAGTGCGCGCAGTACGAACAGGCGACGCAGGACGAGACGCAGGCACACGACGCTCAGTGAGACCTCCAGTAGGACCAACGTAGGGAGAAGGAGCAGGCAAAGGGGAGGCAGGCTGTAGCTGTGATTGTGACGGGACAGGCTGTGGACCCTCGAAGGGAGGAGGAGGAGGACCAGGAGAAGGTGTAAAACCAAGAACCTGCTGCAGGAGCGGAACGAAGTACGGTCGGGGCCGCGTGGCGACGCCAGAAACAGCAGGGACAGCACCAGTACCCCCAGCAGGAGTACCCGCTCCAGCACCACCTCCAGCAGCACCTCCAGTAGCTCCAAAACCTCCAGCAGCACCTCCAGTAGCTCCGGAACCCCCAGCGGCACCAGGAGCACTGCCAGTCGGACCGCCAGCGGTAGTCTCAGCGCCAACACCCTCAGCAGCACCAGCTCCAGGAGGACCCTCAGGCCCAGCAGCTCCAGCACCCACAGCACGAGCACCTCCGGGACGCACTGCAGCAGCACCCTCTGCAGCCGAAGAACCTCCAGCACCAGCAGCACGCCTCCAGCGCCAGGCAAACCACTCACGCAGCTCCTGTGGGGAGAGTGGCTCTCGGCGAGACGAAGCACCTCCAGGCTCAGCACCCCCAGGCTCAGCACCCCCAGGCTCAGCACCCCCAGACTTAGTACCCCCAGGCTCAGCACCCCCAGGCTCAGCACCTCCTGGCCCAGCACCCCCAGGCTCAGCACCCGCAGCAGCACCAGAGTCACCAGTGACCTCGACAGGCTCGACCGCGTCTACCTGGGACACACCTGAAGGGGCAGGACCCTGAGGGGGGAGGGGGTCTACCGGGGGGGGACCTGGTACCAAGAAGAGCGGGGGCGGGGGAAGGGACGGAGTGCGGTAGGGGAAGAGGCGGTAGTAGGGTACCGACTCGTCGAACGTGACGTCCTGGGAGGACAGAACACGTCGAGAGGTGGGGTGGTAGAACTGCCACCCAGGGGCGTTGGGGGGGAACCCCAGGAAGACGCAGGGAGCAGCGCAAGGGGACAGCTTGTCCGCAGACAAGTCGCGGACAAACGCCCGAGATCCCCAAACCCGGAACGCCGACGCATCGCCAACCTTCCCCGTCCACAGCAGAGCTTGGGAGGTCTCCGGCCTGGAGACCCTGGGGTGGAGGTTGATCTGATGCGCCGCGTACCGAACCGCAAACGGCCACAGAAAATGGGGGGCAGCCACATGCATCATGGACGTACAAGCGACGTCCATGACCATGCCAATGCGGCGCTCTGCAATCCCATTTTGCTGCGGTGAGTCCGGAAGCGTGAAGGTCTGGCAGATGCCTCGCGCACGATAGAAGGCACGCAGAAGGCCGGAGGAGAACTCTCCACCTCTGTCCGAGTGCAGACGCAACACAGGAAAGTCCTAGCCAAAGCTCTGCCTGAGCTGGAGACGAGCTGCGCGGATCCAGTCGATCAGCACCTCAGTGACATCACCCTTGCTGCGC